GTGTAGGTCTGTCAGTCACAAAATTGAATAGGAGGCCTCCTCTTGATAGAGTGAGTATCTACAACGTTTACAATGTGGGAACCTGAAACAGTTTTTTAGGTGTCAAGTGGATATCTGATATATTTTGCCCTTGGCTGTGATTGCTTCCAGTGTTCCATCTCATGGTGTTTAATTTGTTCCATGTTTGGTTATGATAAGCTGCTCTGGAAGTTTTGCATCAAAGAGGTGCAGACTTTTTAAAGAAATGAAATAAATGGACATGGTAACAGCAAGTGCGTTCTGAGGTTCTTCTATAGATCCTGAGCCAGCCCTTCTTGTCCAATGAAAATATTACAGACCTAGGCTAAACATGGAAATATTTTTGAATTTTTAGGTGCAGGTATTAGGTTTATGGGAAATCAGTTGGTTGTAAGTTTTCCAAATATCTGTGGTGTCTGCCAACAAAGAAATCCAGGATGTGTATGTTCAGACTGACAAGAATTCTGTTAAATGAAGTGCTAAGAGATGTGTGATTCATAGTGCATATTTGTTGAACCAAGTAAAAGCGCTGAGGTGCACAGTTGGTGAATTGAAGACTTTATTTAGATCATTGCCAAGTATACTGCCTTAGGGCTCAACATGTGGATTATCTAGATTAAAGTTTTTGAAATTGTTAGTGTTTTAAGTATTCATGTCCAATAAAAAAATGGAAATTAAGAACTATGTTTAAAGAGAAAGCTATCTGCTCTGACACTGGCATGAAAACTTTTGAATTTCAGGTGCTCCAGCCCAAATCGTATACTAAGCGGGGTTTCTGTTTCTAGATCCGAGCTTTAAAGCAGCAACCTGTGTATATGTGTCTGTGAATTGAATTGGTGGGTAGGCACAGCTAAGGCAGGATATTCCCCCCTCAAGCTTATGTTGTTATTCAGGGTGTTAGTTGCCCCTGTAATACGTTTCTTTGGTGTAGGGGTACATACATAGATAATCACACAAATAAAAACTTGCAGAACAGCATTCAGAACTTGGAGGGACTTGAAAACTACATACAGTATAAAAATGTCTATCATATCCAAGGTTAAAGTTGCTTTTTTAAAGTTCAGCCATTTTTATAAAAGTGAATGAAAGTGGAGGGGGAAGTCTTGCTTGGCAGGCCTCTGGGAAGGAGGACATCTCACAATTAGGGTAAGGCTATTGTAAAGAATGCCCATTTCCCACTATCCACTTGCCACACCACCCTTTGTGGTGGCCCTCGGAGAAAGGGCATGGGGTGGAAGATAGGAGGATGAGTTGTCCTTCAGATAACTGTTGCCTCAAACCATGAAGGGCATGGGAGGTCCCGAGAGGCTGTGGAACTCTATGCAAGGAATGCTAGGCTGAATCCCAGACTGTGGTCCTTCCACTGGAAAGCAAAAATCTTGGCAAGTGCTTCGACTTGACACTTTCCCCACATTCTTCTTAAGCTTTAAAAAGCAGAAATTTCTCCCAGTGATATCCTACCAGCTAATGGTATGAAGGTATCCACAGATTGAACTGCTTCAGCTGTGGAGTCTTGTAACAGGCATGAACACTTTTGCTCTCCAAATGTCTGGGGGATGCAAGTGTGGGTTCCTTGAGATTTCCTACTGAGTCAGAATGCACAAGGCCCCAAACAGCCGAGTTTTTCTGAGGGGGTGCTGCAGTCGAGGAAGAAAGCTACTTCTTAGCTCCCTCGCTACCACAGAGTTGGCTCAGCTGTGAGACCTTAGTGGCCTTTGATCAGGTTCAGGTTGAGTTTTCCTCTGTCTGCCTTGCTTTTACCTCTTGGCAAAGGAGCTGACAGAATCCTGCAAGAACAATCATGCCAGCTCCCAAGTTGCATTTTCGCTCCACAGGCTGACCAGGCTCTCAACAAAAACACTGGCCAGTTGTTGTTGTTGTTTGCCATCCGGTTGTCTTCTTTGTGTGGCAACCTTATGAATGACAGACCTTCAAGCGCCCTGGTCATGAGCAGGTCTTGTAAATTCAGGGCAGACGTTGCTTCTTTTATTGAATCAATCCACCTGCAGTACAGTCTCCCTCTTTTCCTCCTTCCTTTCACTTTACTAATTGTTACTGTTCTTTCCAGTGTTTTGTGTCCAAAATAACAATGCCCTCAGTTTAGTCAAGTTGGCTTCTAGGGAGAGGTCTTGCTTGGTTTGCTCTGAGGCCTATTCATAACTCTTTTTAGCCCTCCCTTATATTTGTACAGGTTGAGTATCCCTTACCTGGTAATCCAAAGTTACTCCAAAATTGTCCACATGGGTGGCTGAGATAGTGACACCTGTCCTTTCTGATGGTTCAGTGTACACAAATTTGATTTCATGCACAAAATTATTACAAATATTGTGTATAAAACTACTTTCCGGATATGTGTATAAGGTGTATATGATGAAACATAAATGAATTTCATGTTTAAATTTTGGTTCCATCTCCAAGATAATCTCATTATGTATATGCAAATATTCCATATTCTGAAAAAACTTCAAAGTCCAAAATACTTCTGGTCCCAAGCATTTTGGATAAGGGAGACTCAACCTGTATATGTTGTTTGAAAACAAATAATCTATAGATTAAAAACCTTTAAAACTTGTTAAAAGATAGAGTACACACTCTCTCTCTCTAACTAAACAATACACTATTAAAATTTCATTGCAGTCAGTTCCTAAAAGCCTGGCAGAGAGTGAGGAGGGAGCCATCCTAGCCTCCTGAGGGAAGGAATCCCAAAGTCTGGGAGCAGCCACTAAGTAGGTCTTCTCTTTGTACCCCCCAAATGGACCTGAGAATGCAGTGGCACAGAGAAGGGACTCCTCCAAACATCTCAATGTTCTCTTTTAAAGAGACCAGACCCACCATGTCCCAGCCTAGCATACCAGTGCTCCAGCTTGGTGTTTCCAGTGGGCAGGAAACCTCAAGAGAGGAATGGAGTTCCTGCAGACCGCAACAGATTCCCCCACCTCCCAATCCTGGCGACCTTTATGGGCTAATCCCACAGCTTCCCAGTCCCAAGATGAATTAAGCCCTTCAGGTTCGGCCTCCTCCTCCACAGTTAATTTGTGTATGGAGGGGTGTGTGGTGAACGGCTCAGCAGCCATTCAATAACACCCAAGGCAAACTAATTAGAGCTGTTGCATTTCTTTGGGGAAAAGGAATGAACAATTAAACAATTAAACAATTAAAACATTACATTATTAAAATTTAAAACTCTTTAAAACAAACCCAAAAAGCATCCATGTCATGTGAAGGCCTGGTGGCATAAAAACATCTTTACCTGCCGCCGGAAGGAGAGCAGGGATGGCGCCACCTTGGCCTCCCTAGGCAGGGAGTTCCAGAGCTTGTGAGCAGCCACTGAGAAGGCCCTTTCTCTTAGGGTTTTCCATAGGGTTTTCTTGGGCAAGGAATGCCCAAGGTGGTTTTGCTTAATTTTCTTCATGCCGGAGGTAGGAAAACTGTGGCCTTCTGGATGTTGGACTACAGCTTCTATCATCCATGGCCATTTTTAAATCCTGGCTAAGGCTGATGGAGGTCATGGGCTCTTCAGCTCTGCTTTCCCCTCTGGGTCCTTGATGTTCTGTAATCAAGACATAAGTCAAAAGCTGACTGGATGCTCTTATTGCTGCTCTTTGTACCAGTTCAGTTTCCCAAACAGTGTTCAAAGGCAGCCTCACATAGAGGGTGTCACAGTAATCCAAGACACACACACACAAAATCCTTGTGGGAGAGGCTGGAGCATGAACTGCCTGGGAGCAGTTTCCTAAATCTGTCTGCCAGAATCATGGGAGAAAGTCCCCTTTCCTCTCCCATGAAATACTAGGCTTCGGGGAGGGACTGCATTGAAACAAAAGGGTGTCTGGATATGGGAGAGATAAGAGGTCTTCCCTACAACCCAGGATTTGTTGACGAGATGCGCTGCATTGCTGTTAGCTGGTGACAAGGCAAAGTCAAAGAGGAGGAGGAGGAGAGGTTTGCCAACAGCTCTGGCCTCACCTGCAGGGTTTAACTGCGTTCCACTTTTGAAAAACTCTTATTCTAAGTAGCCCAGGGCAATATACATGTCTCACCACCGGTGCTGTGGCACATGCGTGGTAGTTTTCAGACTTATCGGCTACCTTCCACCAAAGCTCCAGGATTGTGCGTGTGTTTGTCTTGGATTACTGTGGCACCCTCTGCATGAGGCTGCCTTTGAACAGCGTTTGGGAATGTCAGCTGGTACAAAGAGCTGCACCAAGAGCGCTCACAAGGATAGATTGTAGAGACCATGCAGCTCTGTCTCTGGGTGCAATTCAACATGATAGTTGTGATCTAGGAAGCTCTATACAGCTGTCCAGGCTGTCTGACAGCTATCTGTCTTCATATGAACCTGCCTGGGCCATGAGATCCCTTCTCTTAGTCCCCTGCCTTCAACAGCACAGCTGATGGAGACAGGGCCTTCCCGGTGGCTGCCCCAGGCTCTGGAACTCATTTCCCAGGGAGGCCCGAAAGACCTTTTTCTTGCTGTCCTTGCATGGGCAGACAATGCCTTTTTATTTTGACAGGAAGTTTTTCAAGAGAGACTTTTATGAGGCAACTTTATTGTTTTTGTTGAACTGTTATAACTGCCTTTTATCCTCTTACATGGTTCTAATATTGTCAATTGTAATATTATTCTATTACAAGAGTGGACTTTGTGTAGGTTTAGTTGTTGTTATATTTTAGAACCTGAAGTAGCAGGGGTTTTGTTGGTTTGTATTTATATTTTTTATTCTTAAATTGTTAGTGTTTTAATTGTAATTGTTTTAATTGAGTTTGATTTAATAGCTTTTTAAGAGGGGGAGGAGGGAATTAAATTGTTTTAACCTGTATGTATTTTATTGTTGTTCACCGCCCGGATTGGTTTGCCACAGGGCGGTATATAAATAAATTGTTGTTGTTGTTGTTGTTGTTGTTATTATTGTGCTTGTTTTAAATTGCAGGCCAAATTTAGAGAAAAAGCAGAATATATATATACAGTTTGAGAGATGAGAGCCAGCATGGTGTAGTGGTTTGAGTGTTTGACTAAGGCTCTGGAGACTAGGGTTCAATTCCCAGCTTGGCTGTAAAACCCTCAAACATGACCTCAGGCAAGTCACGTTCTCTCAGCCTCAGGGAAAGGCAATGGCAAACCTCTGAACAATTCTTGCCAAGAAAACCCCATGATAGGTTTTCTTGAAGGTTACTGTAAGTGAGAAACAGGTTGAAGACACACAACACAACAAGAGTTATAATAATAATACTAGTAGTAAGTCAGTGGGGCAAGAAGGCATTTTCACTGCGCAGATAGTCTAGCACAGGGGTGGGCAACCTTTTCCCTTTAAGGGCCGAGGGACTTCAGCTCCCAGAATCCCAGGAGCTATTGGCCAACATGGGACTATTGACCAACATAGCTGAGGCTTCTGGGAGCTGAAGTCCCTTGCCCTGCTTTCTTTTGCCCCCCAGACCACATCCTGTGGCTTGGCTGACAGTGCTTCCATGTTTCTAAGTGGAGTTGCCCTATTCCCGTCACTTTCCATGACACCTCCTGCCTGCCTTGGTGACATTAAGATGGAGGGACAGTCCTCCCTGGTGCTCCTGCTGGGGCCAAGCTGATGTTTTGGCCCTCTTAGCTGGAAAGTGGTGCTGGGGATGAGCAGCAGGGAGGCCCAGTGCTCATAAGCTCTTTCCCCCCAAAGTGGCATCTGGCGCATGTTTTGCATAAGGTGAAGTGGGAACGAGGGTCGTGTGTCCATGTGCACATGCTCCCCGCTGGGTGTGGGAGGCAATTGTAACTTCTGTCTTTCTCTTCTAGAGATTTTCTCCAATGTGAATTGAGCCACTGGGCTCTGTCTTGGGGGCCTAAGACCAAACAGCCTTCTGGGAGGTCGTCGGTGGCCTCGGGCCAGACTGGGCTCCGGAAGCAGTTTTGCTGGGATCCTCACTTTGGAAGAGGTGGAGGAGGCAACGCCGGCGACTGTGATTCTTCCTCCCCTCTTTCTGTCTCTCCGCTTGTCCTGCTGCCCTCTCTCAGCCACTTGGAAAGGTGGCACTTGTGAGAGCTGCCACTGGGGTGAGCATCCCGTTCTTTAGAGTGTGCTCTGTCCTTTGGTGTGTGTGTGAAGGGAACCTCATGCTACCAGAAGGCATTCTCATGCGTGCCAGGACCAGCAATGGGGTTTCCCCTCTGCTCTGCAGCATATCACCTGAGCCTCACTGTCCAGGACTGAGCTTGCGGGAGGCAGTGGAAGAAAGAGCCATGGATGTGGGTGGGCGTGGAAGGGACGGGATGCTGACATGCCATGAAGCTTGGAAAGACGGAGCCAGAGCGGCAGAACCTTGGCCTTCCTAGCCTAATCTAGTCAACTCTGACAAGCAGCCATAGATTTATGAGTCTTTGGGCAGGACTCTTTTGTGGCCTCTCCTGGAGATGCTTCCAGGGACTGAACCTGAGGCCTTCCCTGTATAGATATCCCAGCCACCAAAAGATAGCGCAATCTGCTTATCCCTGATTCTGTTACAGTTATTGTTTATTTGTGTTACTATTTGAACTGTATTTTAAATTGCCAATTGTTTAATAGTATTTTAAGGGGGTGGGGTGGGATTGTGGAATATAGAATGTATATTTTAATGTTGTAAGCTGCTCTAGTTGTGTTGTGCAGAGGGGTGGGATAAAAAATTAATTAATTAATTTATTATTATTATTATTATTATTATTATTATTATTATTATTATTATTATTTTGCACTGGCCCACAAGCAGTTGTGCAAGGCTATTTCTAGCCTGATACTGTCAACTGTGAAGGACAGGTGGGGTTGTTTATCTAACCCTGCCTGAAGGTCCCTGGAAGTTTCTCCAGGTGATCTCCCATCCATGGACTGGGCCTGAGCCTGATAAACTTGAGAAATCAGATGAAATTGGGTGTGTTTAGGGTTGTATGGACCAAGGAATGACATAAGAATGACTGGGTCTAAAAGAAATGGAAGGAGGACATTTGGGAGCAGGGAGTGTGAGTGTGGCATTTGAGGCAAATGTTCAGCTGGCTTACAACTTCTGATTCCAAATGAGGGGCAGGTTGCCTCCCGTTGCACATGTCCAAAGGATAAACACTACACAAATTCAGTACTTGTTGAGGAGGCCTTTTATCTCGAAACACTGGTCGGTCATGATTTATGTAGTTTGAGTACCAGGACCCAGTTTTGCATCATTAAACCAGAGTCAAGGTCATTTAAAAACAAATATAAAACCTCAGCCTCCTTATGTTCCTGAGTTGAAAAAAAAGCAAGATGTAGGTGAATATTGGTAATGATGCTTATGCTTCATAATAATAGGTGGCAATAGACTGAAAACAGTTCTTCAAAAGAAAAGGCATCTTGATTTTATTTTGATGCTACTGTTGCTTCTGCCTCAGCTGATAGGAGCCAGCATGGCTTGCCTACAGAGGTGGGCAATATGATCAGTGGCAAATAGGTCAAAGAAGTTTTGGCATCTTTTGTGTAAAAGCCTTGTCTAATTTGCCAGGTTTGTTTCTGTTTTGGCCACCCCTGACACTCCCTGGCCAGCCTGTTTGGCTCTGATTCCTGGACATCAACCCCAGGTTTATAGGCATTTTTTCCCAAGCCCTTCAGTTTAAATAACAATTTTGAGGGGTGGGCATCTCACCTGATGGTCTTTCCTCTTCTGCAGATTCCCAGCTGTTGAAACCAGCCTCACAGCAGAAGGGTACGATCCAGGGCGGAGCCTTCAAGGTATAACAGAAGTGGGCTGGATGGTTCTAAGAAAACAAACACACCTTTCTTTCTAGTAGTTGCCCCCTCTTCTCTGTTACACACACACACACACACACACACACAGTTTGTCTGTCCTACATCTTCTGAAATGGCCAGGGTGCATTCTCTAGACTTCAGAGGACCCCACATTCCACTTTCCATCCTTTCCACTTTGGTCAAAAGAGGAGCCTGGGGGCAATAGCCGTGGCAGCAGCGGAGGCCCTGCATCCTGCTGCCTTTCCATCCACACTCTTCTTGTCTCCAAGGTTGTCGGAGAAGAAAAGAAAGACAAACACCACCGACGAGAGTGAGAGAGCTCATCTGAGGAGCAGCAGGATGGCAGCTGAGACTCTGAACTTTGGGCCAGAGTGGTGAGTTGGTTTTTGATGGAGGGGATAAAATTTTGGGGTAGAGGAAGGCACAGGGTAGCTGGTGTACCCTTTTTGTGCAAAGGGCGTGAGTGAGGGTGGCTCATTTATGCAGTCTGATTCAGATAAACAAGGCATGTAAATGTGCTGCTGCTGTTGATGTTTCTGCCAGCCTCTGGGCCAGATCCAAAGGTCCATGTCTTGCATCCTTTTAGAAGATGTAGCTGGCCATCCTTTTAGAAGACAGTGCCATGCAAGGAAACCCATAGGCCAGGTTTCATGACCAAAGCCCTCTCTTGCTGTTGTTGCCCAACAGCTGAGATTTAGGCTTTTTACTTTAGAATTTCCACTACAGGTTGAGTCTCCCTTCTCCAGAATTTTGAAATCTGAAATACTTCAGAATCCAAAATTGTCCACAGGTGGCTGAAGTAGTGACACTTTTGCTTTCTGATGGTTCAGTGTACACAGACTTTATTAAAAGTGTATAAAATTCCTTTCAGGCTATGCATATGATATGTATACAAAACATAAATAATTTTGGTGTTTAGACCTGGATCCTATCTCCAGATATCTCATTATATATATATATGCAAATAATTCCAAAATTCAAAACACCTCTGGCCCCAAACTTTTCAGAGAATGTAGACACAACCTGTGCTTCCTTCAGGGTATACAAAGTGTATATTGCAGCCTGTAAAATTGACCAAGAATTAATTTTTAGCTGTTCCTTTAGCTTTCTTTGGGTGATTCATTTACCATAGTATAGTGGTCTTGAAATTTTTGTGGCTACTGCCCCTTTTTCTCTTGGGCGACAACCCTAGCGCTTCCCAATACATATTTCTTGACCTACAATTTGTAGAAGCCAGGCAGCCAACCTTAGCCAACCCAGCTCTTCCTTCTCAGTCTCTTGAGTGAATGCAGCAGTGGCAGCAGCCCTGTCCTGCTCTTCTGTCTTGCCTGGAGCAAAATGAAGGCTGGCTGGCCAGCTGCTTGGTTAGTGCTCCTAGAGCCTTGGTGGCGAACCTATGGCACGTGTGCCAGAAATGGCATGCAAAGCTATTTTCCCTGACACGTGGAGG